TCTTCGTTGTGGGTTCTTCTAGTTGTGGCATGTGGGACGCTGCCTCAGCGTGGTCTGATGAGCAGTGCCATGTCCGCGCCCAGGATTCGAACTAACGAAACACTGGGCCGCCTGCAGCGGAGCGCGCGAACTTAACCACTTGGCCACGGGGCCAGCCCCAAAATGGAATCACTTTTGAAGCCAAATTATTAGATAAGCAAGTCCAGGATATGGTCTTCTTAGTCATTTAGCAAATACTGATTAAGTACTCAAATAATTTATAGGATTTTCCAAGGCACTTGGGTACTTTGAAATAACTAAGCATAATCTCCGTCCTCAGATAGAAGGACATTACAATAATTGCAAAGCTATGCAGAAAGGAAACAAAGTCATGGGTAAAGTTGAATAAAGAAAAAAGAGAGCAATTTTCAGGAAGGTAAAACTTGATTCAGCCTAAAACTCAGATATGTGGCTGATTTCTTTCATGAGCACAAAAAGAAAGAGGAAGAAAGTGAGCCATGAATCACCATTTTTGCAAAAAGAGGTTTTTGCTTCCAACGTCCTTTGTATCCATTTCTGATAATAAAAATATGCCAACAGACTTAGGAAGAAAATAATTTGTAAAGTAAGAAGTTTAAAGGTTTTTAGCATTATGGGATTTAAAGTTCAGAAGATAAGAAAATTTTACTTCAAAAAAAGCTTTGGTATATCATATGACTCACATTTTTATAGTATGATCCCCCAAAATGTATTCATCATCTCCCCTTCCAACAGCCTCCCTCTCGAATGTGTCCCAGCTCTAATAATTAGCATCATCCTCCTCCAAGTTACCTAAGTCAGAAATATGGGCATTATTTTTGCTTATCGCCATTCTTTCAGGCTTGATGTCCAATCGGTCCATGAATTTTACTCCTTCACAAGAGTTTGTTGAATCCTTCACGTTTTCCCATTCCCACTACACTACCTCTGTTAGTCCTTCCATTGGTTTGTCCCCTTCTCCAGTACTCCATATTGAAGCCAATGTAATTTTCCTGAAGCACAAATCAGAATAGATCATTCCTAGTTTAAAACGCTCCAATGGCTTCCCATTGTCCTAAGGGTAAAGTTTAAAATTCTTAGGATGGTTTACCAAGCCCAACTTATCCTGGACCCTATTTGCCTCTCCAGCCTCACTCTGTGCAACTCTGTGTGCTCCAGCTGTCCTCCATCCTTAACTGCAGGAACACTGGGAATGCACCAGGGCACCATTTGTGTTTCGGCTCTCAAACAAACTCTGCCCTTCACCTAGAATGTTCTTCCCTCCCATCTTCCCACAACCCAATATCACCTGCTGTTTCCAGTGTACTCATAATTACCCACTAGATCTCCAGCTTACTTAGAATTTCCATAATAAAAACTCTCTGGCTGCCTATCCCTTAGTCTCTGGTGAGGGGTCAGTTATTACAGTAGGTGTCCCTTCTCTTGTCATTACATGTTTACTTGTAAATCTCACTTACTATGTTCCAAGTTCATTGTTGAGAGTGGGGATGGTATTTTATTTACTATTAGATCATATCCCCCAAATGTAACATGATGTCTGCCACTCAATGATTATCTGTTGGAGGAAGTGATTAATAATAGACATTTTATATGCTCTTCTACAAAGCTTTGTTAAAAAGGAAGCAAAAGCTATACTAATCTTAAGAGACAAAATTAAGCTTCTCTAATGCTAGTTGTAGCTAGTTCTTCAGTATTGTTCATACTGGGCTGTCTATACTAAAAAACTTTTCCTTAGGCAAACTAAAAATGACGAGAGTTTAAAAGAGTTAATTAAGTCCATACTATCTGTCAGGCCCTGTGTTAAATTCTTTACAAATATTATCTTATTTGATTTTAGTTACTCAATCCAAAACGTAAGATTCATCGATTCACTCCCTTTTTTTTTTTTTTAGTTTTATTGGGGTATAATTGACAAATAAAATCATAAGATATTTAAAGTGTATATCATGATGATTTGATAAATGTGTACATTGTGAAAGGATTCTTCTAATCTAATTAACACATCCATCACCTTACGTATTTACCCATTTTGTTTTTGTGAGAGCATTTACGTTCTACTCTCTTAGCAAATTTCATCTCTACAATACAGTGCTATCAACTATGGTCACCATGCTATACGTTAGATCCTCAGACCTTATTCATCTTTTAGCTGAGTTTGTATACTTTTACCAACTTTCCCTATTTCCCTACCCCGCAAGCCCTGGCAACTACTTTTCCACCCTCTGTTTCTGTGAGTTCAATTTTTTTTTTCTTTTTAGATTCTGCATATAAGAGATTGAACGCAGTTTTTATCTTTCTCTGCCTGGCTTATTTCACTTACATAATGCCTTCCAGTTTCATCCATGTTGTCACAAATGGCAGGATTTCCTTCTTTTTTAAGGCTGAATAATACTCCATTATATACACATGCCACATTTCTTTATCCATTCATCTGCCAATGAACACTTAGATTGTCTCCATGCCTTGACTATTGTGAATAATGCTGCAGTGAACATGGGAGTTCATATCTCTTCAAGATAATGGCTTGCTTTGGATATAGACCCAGAAGTGAGATTGCTGGATCATATAATAATTCTATTTTTAATTTCTTGAGGAACCACCATACTATTTTCCATAGTGGTTGTACTAGTTTACATTCCCACCAATAGTGCACAAGGGTTTCCTTTTCTTCATATCCTTTTGAGCATTTGTTATGTCTTATCATTTTGATAATAGTCATCCTGATAGGTGTGATCCCATATCTCATTGTGGCTTTGATTTGCATTTCCCTGATGATTAGCGATACTGGGCTTCTCTGGAGAAAAGTCTATTCAGGTCGTTTGCCCATTTTTAATTGTGTTATTTATTTTTTTGCTATTAAGTTGTATAAGTTCCTTGTATGTTCTGGATATTAACCCCTTATTGGATATGTGGTTTGCAAATATTTTCTTTCACTCCATAGGTTGCCTTTTCATTTTGTTGATGGTTTCCTTTGATGAGCAGAAGCATTTTAGTTTGACGAAGTCCCACTTGTTTGTTTTTTCTGCCTTTGCTTTCGGTGTCAAATCCAAAAGATCATTGCCAAGACCAATGTTTAGGAGGTTACTCTATACATGGGACGCATGTATGGAAGCCTCATTGGTGATCAGAACCAGGCAATCTGGAGGCCTGTCTCTTGGGAAGTAGCTGCAAAAAGCTGGGGTGCAGACTTATGTACAAGTTCCTTCCAGGGAGCTACTGGTGACTTGGAGCAGGCTACAGGTAGATGGCAGGGGAGGCATCCCCTGGCTTCCCTGGGCTCCGGGGAGGATCGCAGCCAGCCCCTAGAAGTGTGCTAAATTAGAAGCCAGACCCTCAGTCAGCCACTTGCAAAGTATTCAGATGGGCCCCTTTCAGGAATGCCCAGGAGGTGGGTGATTTGGTCTGCTCCCTCTGCATTGGCCCCTGGGAGAATAGCTGTGGTGAGGGCTTACATGCCTATTAACAACAGCTCCTTTGTTTGCTATAGTCTTGTGGGTCTCGTGGATGGAAACTTCATTACCTTTCAGAGCTATCTGTTTTGGGAACCCATGCCTTCTGATGGAAGTCTTAAAAATTAAGGGTATTAAGTGTGAGGTCCAAACCCTTCACTCCTCAGAGAGAAGCTGGCAGTTAGGAGTTCCCTCTGCATTGAATGGTACTGTGCCCGGGGTGGGGTTTATGGCGAGAGTGTGTCTCAGCCTTTCCTTCCTATTTCATGGGTATTGTCTCATTCACCCAATGTATAGGAGTTGCTCAGCTAGTTTCTGGATTTCTCTCGGAGGGAATTGCTCTGTGTGTAGCTGTACATTCAGCATGTCCATGGGGAGGAGCGGAGTTTGGGAGCCTCCTATGTCCCTATGTTGGTCAACCTCTTGTCTACTCCTTCACTTCGTTTCACTTCCTCTCTTTTGGCCCTGGTCTAAGCTACCATTGTTTCTTTCCTTCTTGCCTTTTTTTTAAGGTCATATTAACATACATTTTTTATACAGTAAAATTCTCATGTTCAGTTTTACACTTTGATAAGTTCTGGCAAATGAAACCAGTTATGTAACCACCGTGACAATTGAGACACAGGACATTTCCATCACCCCAAAAAAGGTCTTTCACAGCCTTTTGTAGTTAGTCTCTTCACCTCTGCCAACAGGTGGCAATATCTGGTCTGTTCTCCCTCCCTATAGTTTTGCCTTTTCAAGATTCTCACATAAATAAAATCTTAAAGTATATAGCCTTTTGTGACTGGCTTCTCACTGAACATAATGATCGTGAGATTCATCAGCACTGGTGCGCATGGTGGTAGCTTGTTCTTGTTAGTGATGAATATTGCATTTTATAGATATACCACAATTTTATCTTTTTACCAATTAATGGACATCTGGGTTATTTCCAGTTTTTGGCTATTTTGAAAAAAATGTGCTGTAAACATTCTCATACAGGTCTTTGTATGGACAGATGTCTTTTTCTCTTTTGCGTGAACATCTAGAAGTGGAATTGCTGGGTCATATGGTAGGTGTATATTGAACTGTACAAGAAACTGCTAGCCTGTTTTGCAACGTTTCTGTACCATTTTGCATTCCCATCAGCAATGTATGAGTCTTTTAGTTGCTCTGCATCCTTGCCAACACTGGCATTTTCAGTTTTTTAAATGTTAGCTAATATAGTATATGTGTAGTAGTATCTCATTGTGCTTCTAATTAGTAACTAATGATGTTGGGAAATTTTATGTGTGTTTGTTTTGCCACCTGCCTTTCTTCTTTTGTGAAGTATTTTGTAGGAGCCGATAAGGTCTTAATATCTATATTTATTTATATTATCCAAAGCCGACAATTATGTGCCGCTATGGTAGGCGTAGGCCAGGACTGCCATGTTCACTTTCTCCTAGACATTGTATGGAACTAATTTTGAATGTCACAGACCAATCACCATTACCTAGATGCAATGTGGCTGTGTGTGGGCATGACAATTCATTGTTCTCTGACAAACAGACACTGAAGCAAGATGGTGCTGGCGGCATAGTAACAAATTAGATCCAGGTGATGTGGCCTAGTCCCTTGTCTTGAATACTTAAGGTAAGTGATATTGGAAAAGCTTTCACAACCAGCCTTCCCTATAGAAGTCCCGTAGTCCCAGTGTTATTATATGATAAAGTGACTCTTTCCATTTTGTAGCATCCACCTTTGTCAAAACTATAAGATTGTAAGCAAGAAAAAAGGAATAATGATTCATTTTACATATATTTGCTGTTTTATTTTTTAAGATGCCAATGTAAATTTCACAGTGGCGTATACAGAATGCAGTCTGATTTTTAGAGTTTTCATAAAACTGGAAGTGAATTTCCCTTCTGGCTAGAAGTCTGTCAGAGTTCCTGGTTCCTCCTCCCACAGACTTCTCTATTTATTCTGCTTTACTCCACATGGATTCTACAGATTTGATTTAAATTGTGCCGACTTGCACAGACATATCTACCCTAGAGAAGTTTGACTCTTTCAACATTCTATTCACCACTAATGTTCCCTTTTCATTTGGGTGTTTAATTTGGATGAATTCCAAATTACTATTTATTCTGATAGAAACACTACTAATTACACAAAGCATCTTAATAAAGAATAGAAACACGATTCAGAGCATCCTCCTTGTGGTATTCTAATACCTAGTAGCTTTAAAATAGCATTAAGGCACTTTTCTTCCATAAATATTATCCCCTGCTATTAAAACTCTTGCTGCTTGATGTTTTCCTAAGGTTAAGCAAACTTTAGATTCAAGGGTTTGTAGAGAGTTCTTGTTTCTTCAGATAGATCTTAAATTTGACCAAGTAGGCAAGTTTAAGCAAACATATTGACTTGCTGCTGTGGTTTTAAAATAGGTCACTAGAGTTGTGCTAAAACAGAATGTGAAAATAAAGAAATAAACTTAATTTGCTTGATCCTGACACTCAACGTTTGTTACAGGATACTAATCTTTTGTTTCGCTGTTTATACTACTGTAGTAGATTGCATTAATTGCCGCCATTCTTCTTCCCCTCTTCCTATCCACGTCCTTTCCTATGTGGTTTTGCAGTTTTCCTATCAAGAGGTGAAGTATTTTCCTTGCCTCTTGATTCTGAGTCCAGGCACGTGCCTGGCTTCAGCTAGTGGGATATCAGTGAATGTGGTGGAAGCAGAGACTTGAAGAAGCACTTACCAGATGGGGTTTATTCTTTTGTGCTTCAGCATTGCTGTAAATCGCGGTCCCAGACTGGCCTGTTGATCCCAGTATGAGCGCAAGAGACACATGAAGCGGAGCCAAGTTGATCCAGCCAAGACCAGCCTGGATTAGTTTACTCCCAGATTACATTCAGACACGTGAGTGAACCCAGTATGGATAAACTGAACCTCACAGACACGTAACAGATGTCTACTGTTGTATAATCATTATTTTCCTAAACATCTGATGCAATCACCAACCAGATTAAAAACGTTTTGAGGACAGGGCCTTGTTTTATTTATTTTACCTAGAACTCAGTAGGCAATGTGTATTGCCTCAGTATTTAATGGTATTGGATGGCTTCATGAATAAAGATCAATTGAAAATAATTTTTTTCCATTTTTTTTTTCTATTCTGGCTAATCATGCTAATAGCTACAACTGAATGCCTCAGAATCTAATGGCAGAGCCCCATTCAGTGAACTAATCTCTAACTAAGCATCACATTTTTTCCCCCAAGATCTTCAGGGGGTGATTTCCATGAGCCTCTCCCAATCCCCTGACATGGTTAGTGTTTAATAATTCTTAATAAGAACATGTACTGATAAGGATATGTAGTTATCAGTGATCTGCAGACCATACATGAGCACTGAATGGACGAGGTCTTTACACCCGGGTTCAACACAGGCAGTAGCATTTTTTCTCAATTCAGTTCTAGAGCAAATTGAAGTGTGAGCCATTTTTAATCTCATAGCCTCCTGTTTCTTTCCCAAAATAAATATCCTCTTCCCTATTAAACCCTGTTCCCAGCAATGGATCTAATTGGCAGCTAAATGAGAAATTGCGGGTAATATTGCCTCTCATGAAGAGATTTGCATATTAACATTCATTCATTGTTTTCACTCATTCAATAATGCCGAGTGGCCACTTACTGCCCAGCACCACAAGGAGTATTTGGGATGTAATGGTGACCAAGGCGAATATGGTTTCTTCCTTCATGGAGTGCATGATTTGGAGGTAGGGGCAAGTGGGAAAAGACAGACACAGACACTGAACAAAATCAGTACATGTTTAAAGAGGAGAGGGAAAGGAGGCAGTGGAGTGTATGGCAGGGGCTGTGAACCTAGTCTACAGAGGCAGGGAATTGCCCTGGGGAAATGATGTTTACACTTGAAGAAGTTGGAGTTAGTCCAAAAAGTACAGGAAAATCATTTCTGGAGGGGGAATGGTTTATATAAAGCTCCTAAAGAGAGATAGATTCTAGTTTGTTCAGGAACCGAAGGTAGTCGAGAATGGCTGGAGTCAAAAGACAGAGGGCATCATCCTTGATGATGATACTTTGAATAGCGTTCAAAGTTTTGTTTGTCAGAATAGCTCTAAGAGAGGTGTTTGGATTACCTGGGATGCTTGTTAAAGAAGCAGATTCCTGAGCTTCCCCCATTATTACATGGTCAGAATCTCTAATCAGAGCCTATGATCTGCGTTTTAACAAGTTCATTTGGCAATTCTTATGTCCCCTAAATTTTGAGAATCACTGGACTAAGTGAATAAAGCTTCCAAGGTAGAAGACTGACAGGTATCAATAGCAGGTGAGGAAAATATTCGGGTGCAATGTGGAGTATTCCTGGAGCTCTTAAAGTAATACCACGCAGGCCAGGGTCTACTACTTTTTGGCCAGCAGAGTTGCTGGTGCTCCTTGTATGAATAGGGGCATTGGGCCATGCTGAGCAATAGGACTGAAATGTTGTGTTTTGAAAACTTATACTCAATGAGGAAATATCAAATAATTTTTAAATAAATTTGGTTCTAATTTATCCCCAACAATAACTCTTGAGAAGCGCCTGGGATATAACAAATACCGTGGGTGTTCTCCTATTGGAACCCTCCCTCGATCAACTTGCTGGACTTGCTCATTCTGTCCAGTCCTTCTGCCCCACGGCACCCAGATGTCTGTGAAAATATGCTTTTCTCAAGGATAAGCACACCTCCGCTGCCACTTTATGAGTTTTATTCTTAACACGAGTCAGTTGTGTTTATTCTCAAACTTTTCTATGCCACATGTTTCTCATTTTGAAATTATAAAATTTAATTATGAAATAAACAAAAGACATGTAATTGTAAAAAGAGTTTTTATTTCAGTGAACACTAAATTTGATGCTTTGGAAAGTTCTGAAAACTTCTTTAACACTGCTTTCAGATTAAGTGCAGGTAAGAAACAGAAAAGATTGGGAAAACATCAGAAAAATCTAGATAGATTCTGCTTTGAATTGCTTCATCTTTGTCTTTAAGTTCTCATTTCAGATATAAAAACAAAACAAACAAAATGGAATTACTGGCACATGTTGAGGATGCATGTGGATTTGTTTGTGCAAAAGATCGACTCAGATCTCCAGCCAGTGGCCCCACACCAAAGAAATGATCTTGGCCCTACATTTGAAGTTTGGCAAATGAATGAGTATATTTCTTAAGTTAATATGTTAAGATCTATGTGTATTTGTTTTTTAAGATGTCCAGCTTTAACCTACTTTTTTGGTTAAACAAGTAATTGTGGGTTCCAATCTCATCAGATAAGAAGTCTTTTATTTGACAAAGAATATGGGGATTAGTGCTCTAACAACTTGGAAGGAGGTTTACTGCCCAAGTGTAGGGTGGGTGTGTGGCTAACTCCAGCCATGTTGGAACAGAACTGAGCTAATATGTGGTAGTGAAAATCCCTATGCTCTGAAAACCACTATACATATATTATATATTATGGTAATTTGGGATGACAATAGAAAGAGTGTTATACAATGAGAATCTTTTTATTTTTGTGGAAGATGTGTCATTTGCTCCTTTGGTTTATTTCTGCTGCAGCGCAAAGCCAGAAGCACCTCTATTTCTGTCTGGAGACCCCCGGGACTATGGGTGCTTTTGAGGTAAGGGATTTCTTGCTCTGTTTTTTACTCTGATCATACTGGCAGGTATAGCAAGAACAGGAAACTTCCCCAAAATTCTGCTTTTGCACTTGTCATCTTAGAGACCCTAATTCAGACAAGAAGAGTTTCCTTTCTGACTAAGCCAGGACCCCTCTCACAAACCTGCTATAGCCTAAGAAAGGAATATCAGCTAGAGGTGCTTGGAGTTCAAGAATGCTAGCAAGAATAATATATCCAGATTCAGTTTTTTAGCAAATGCAACCAAAGAGCCTTGATGAACCTATTGCGTAAAGAGCAAAAGTAGCCTTCACTTCCAAGGGGTGAGGGAAAGGGGCTCATAAAATCTGGATTTTGTCTTGTAGGATTCAGTTACTTCTGGTGGTGTACGATTGCTAACTCCTCTTCTTCTCATTTATTTGGAAAGAATTTAAACAATGCAAATTACCTCAAGAATCCCTAGAAATGGAGCATATGACTAAGTAGTCAAGAGTTGCACCTATTATCATGTTTTTTGTGGCTGTTCTGGCAGTTATCTTTGTGTATCCCTGTGATCATTTGTATGATCTACTCCTAGATTCTCTCATTATCAGGGTCTCTATTCTTAACCACTACTGTTTAAGCGATACGTTTATTGGCAGTTCTAGATAACAGATGGACATGTGCTAAGATGATGTGTGTGCACATCTGATTCTTCTAAATATCTCACAGTAAGTGAATAAGTGGATGTTCAGAGAATACTGCAATGCTATATTTAAGGTTCCTGTGCACATTTTGCTTAGCATTACAAATTGACTGTCTAACGGAATTAGGTAGAGAAAATCTATAGCAGATCCATGATGCTTTGTGAATAATTGACTAGCCACACAGGTGCATAAGATTTCACATGAGATTTTCTTCTTTTTGTGGGAAATATATATTGTTGAAAGATTGTGGAGGAAAAATTCCAGGGATTCCTTGTCATCTTTACAATAACATTTCATGCATTGTTTGTCATACGGCCAAAGTTTTCTAAATTCCTTGCCATTGTTGTGATATCATCTATCCCACTGTGGCCCTGAGATAACAGAATTCCATAATGCATTCAGATAGTAATTGTTATACTTTAAACAAAAGTGGCTCTATTTTCTTCTCTTCTGAGGATGGATGCTGCCACAGCATGGTACTCTGGTCATCCTCCCTTAAAGCACTCTGCACTTCCACTTTGTAGCATTTGTCACAATTGTAATGATATGATAACTCATAATGACTCATTTCATGTTTGTTGCCCCCGCTAAATTATCGGCTGCAAGCAGTCAAGGTCCATGGCAGAAGTTTAACTCATCTTATGTCCCCAGCACCGAGTAGGTGATCAATATGTGTTTTTTGAATTAGAGAATGGATGTACAGAGAGAGTAGGGAATCCCATGTTTTCCTCCATTCATTTTCCTCTTGGCTTTTCTAGGGCTGTTTTGCATAGTGGGGGCCCCATGAGAGGCAGAGGGGATCCAAGTAGTAAGGCCCTGTCCTCCCCTCTAAACTTCTGCTCAGTTCATACGCAATTCCTCCCCGCTTTGTGTCAGATATCCTACCATTGTGGACATACACAGACGGGGACATAATTTATTCTGAGACTAGCAAAGATTTTAGTGCACTGCCAAAAAATTGCTGCCTTCACACATTGCCAAGATCACCCTCACATCACTATTCATGTAGTACACATCAGACCCTTTCAGAGAGAAAATGTATGGCAGAAAACTATACTGTTTCAAGTACATCCTTAACTTTCTGAAGTTGGCTTCAGAGAGGAAAATCAGCTACTTCTCATAATTCTCTTTGGTGCCACTGTCAGAGACAGAACGTGGGATTGTTAGCATACAATTCTAGTAGAGTTTTATATTTCAATATTATTTTATTCTGATTATATTAACCTAATAACTCACCATATACAATAAAGCTATAAAATAAACCATTAGAAATATACACGTAACATGCTAAGTCTGGGGGCGGGTGCAGAGAAGCCGCAGATGCAGGGGCTTCAGCAAACAAGGTGAAAATAGATAAAAATGAGCAGTGACCACTATTTAAGGGAATGCATGTCAAAAATCATGTTGTAACAATAAGAATAATATTAAACATTAATAAAGACAATAATCAAATCTGATGAAGAAATGTGGATTCAAAAATACTTAAAGATTCAAAATTAAAGCAAGAAAACTAATAGGATGTAAATGTTAAAGGTTAACAAAGGAAATTTTGTGTTATGTTACGATTTGGTGATTCAAACAATATAACAATAATTTATTAGAGATGGTAGAGGAACAAGACAGTTGATATGGCCAATTATAAAATCAATCAACAAATATCTGGATCCTTACCTAGACTGCCCTACTTTGACTATTGTAATAACCTTTGAAATGACCCTCCCACATTCTAATCTCTCCCACTTGTTCATCAGGCTCCTTTCCTGCCTCTGCCGTTAAGTCATTTTCTCATTCATGTGTTCATATCTTGTAAGGCCCCCTTGAATGGCAACTGTTTTCCATCAAACCTTCTCTGATAATCAGCTATAAGTGATATCTCCCCCGCCTAAACTGCTGTAGAACTTTATCTGCCCCTCTCATATGTATGACTCTTAAAAGTTTCCACTTCATGTTTTAGTGACTAACGTATACTTTTACAACTTCCTTACCAGTCCCTAAAACTTTGAGGGTGAAATTTCTCTTTTACAGTACACATTACAGAGTATATTATAATATCCAGCAGACAGCACGTGTTCAATTGATAAATGTAGACAGTACATGGTTTTCAAGAAAAGATTTTGTACATAAGTTTTCCAGAGCATCCATCCTTCCCTTTCCTTCTCAAGTCCCCTTCTCTGCTTTTCTAAACTTGGCTCTCAGACCCACTTAGAACTGAGCTCTTCAGGAATCTTTCCATGAATCCCAAGTTCAAAGTGGTCTCTTCTCTGAAAAACCCATGTATTCAACATCTGAAATGTTTGAGTCTCTGTGTCAAGCATTCTGACACTCATTGTGTGCTACCTCATGTGGTAGGATACCATTTTCATCTTTATCGCCCTTCCCCTCATTCAAGATGGTAAACTCCTCAAGAGCATGGATCACATTTTATACATTTTAGTACTTATTGTCAGTTAGTATCTGTATTTGTTAGTTACTGTAAGTCCCAGAACAGTGCTTCACATCTATTGCTTCTATTTTGTTCCTGGCATATCCTAAGCAACTAGAGCACCGCCTGGCACATAGTAGGTACTCAATAAATATTCGTTAAATGCAGTTGAAGAGATGATCAGTAGAAGTTGATTGATAAAATTCTGAGTGAAAGCTGATATCCTGGCTGTGAAAGCAACGTGCACTCCTGGCACCCCTAAGCAGCAACAGGCAAGGTAGCTGGACTGTTGATACAGGCATGTTCTCCATGGGCCTCATTTCACTCTATCTTTGGCATACTTCCTTTAGGAGCAGCACGCTGGATCATAGCGGTCTCTACTTGGAAACACTCAAGCGTTAATGATGTAGATCAACTGTGCTGTTTTCCCCTCAGCCCAGTGACTCTTCTCTGGCTCTCCTGAGTAGGTATCCTCAATGTGTCTCCTCCTTCGGAGGTTTCTTTATTCATGCGATAATTTCCCAAATACATTTTAGTCACCTTGAATTAAGACGGATAACTTTATCTCCTTTCCCTTATCATTAATAAACATAATTCACCTAATTGTACTGTGATAGTTCGCCTAAACATGGAGAAATTGGTTAAGCTAGAGTGCTTTGAGCTCATGTAGCCAAATGCAGTGGTATTTAGTCCTGTGAAAGTTAGCTTAGGACACGGGTCTGTGCTTCTCTTTTTGCCATTGGAGCCCTTACCTTGCAGGGTCCTTCCTTCCTGCCTGCCATCCTCTCCTCCTTCCGCTACTTGCTGGAGATATGATGGGGAACAAGTCAAAAATGCTTCTTGTCCTAAGGGAAATTACACTTTTAGAGGAGATTCAGATATTAAACTACTGATTTTTACTATTTTAATTACAATTGTTATAAATGCAGCAAAGAAGTACAGAAAACTTATGGGTGCTTAAAGGAATCTATCCTGGTTTGGTGGGAAAAGTGCAATGGGGTTGGCAGTCTGGAAAGGATGATCGGGAAAATGGTGTTAAGGTTGAGTCCTGAAGAACTAGTAAGAGTAAGCAAAAAAAGGGAGGATAAGAGAGAGAAGGAAGTCTCCAGTGGGAAGGAAGCAAGCAGTCATTTCTCTTCTCCCTACTGTTACATAGCCATTAGTTAATGAGAAGAAAAATTCTTTTTATCAAATTATTAGATTGGCTTGAAGAGATATTTGACATATTAAATAAGAAACATTACATAAGATATATTAAATGTTTTTTAATAAAAAATTGTGTGTGTGTGTGTGTGTGTATATATATATATATATAAAAGCCTGCATTTTCTTCCTTGAATTAAAAATAAAACACAGCGAGTTGAACCCTGGCCATTAAACTAAAAGAGGAAATCTCTCTTTCTTTACTCACACACTAATTTGGGGTGGGGATGGGCATAAGATTAAATCCTTTTTTTATCCTTAAAATTATTTCAAGGTTAAGTTAAATGGAAAGCCAGTCATTTGTTCTGTTAGTTTTTCAGATATTTATTAGCTTGTGTCCTTGAGAAAATGTACATTTTTAGTCATTTTCACATTAGTGATTTTTAATCAACTTTTAAATGGATGTTTTCTAGAAAAGCTTTTCACATTTCTGGTTTCTAGGTTGATTGAAGTTTCAGTAAATAAGTCATAGTATTCTAAATATAATCCTTAAAAGTCAGATTAAAGGGCATTAAAATGTAAAAATGGTAGGGAAAGAAGTCTTTTCTACAAGGTAACAAAATGGATGTAATTTAGTTGAAAAGAAACAAAATGATTGCAAATTGAGGATTACTACTCTATGGCAATCCTTCTATAGCTGACATTGAATGTGACTTTCTAAAGGCAGAGTTATTGGATTTTTATTCATCTTATGATTTGGCTCCTTTCTAGAGGAGTGAAAATTTTATGTAACTCTAATACAATATATTTTGGAAAATATATATATATATATAAAATTATTATTACTGCAGCTACTCCTAGTGAAAAATATCCTTTGGTCAAAGGGAACGAGAAATAATATCTATAACTGTTACATGTGCACTCTTTTTGCCCATAAAACCTAAGCAAGTCTGATGGATTAAAATTTATCTAAGTCACAACTGTCAGATTAGTGGCATTTTTCTTGCAGTAAGATCACAAAGGATATTTTTATCTCTCTCAATTCAGCAGTCGGGTTAAGGCTCCCTAATAGAAGGCTGCATTACTCTGTAGTCCTGCCACTTTTAGTAGCATTTATATTTAACCTCATTCTCTGTAAGTCAGGCAGAGTACGTATGTGACTTTGTAGGTGCAGAGAGGGAAATGAGAAAGCTTAAGTCTTCCTTCACTCTGAAGACAGAATTATTAGACCTAACCCCATGATTTCCCTTTTGGGTATGTAGATAAGAATGATCAACCTTCAGGAAACATCGTCTAAATCACTTCTCTGTTTAAAAATGTTGCAGGATTTCTCAAGACCTATAGCAAATGTTCTCAAACTTAAGGAGCATCAGAATCACCTGCAGGGCTTGTGGAATCATGATTGCTGGGTCTCAGACAGAGTTTCTAATTCAGTAGTTCTGCGATGGGGAGCATACATTGAGAATCCTGGCCACAGGATAAAGACTAAAATTCTTACTCCCTAAAATGCCCATCGTAATCTGAAGGCAGTAGAGGTCACTGTGAGCTCTAGAATCAAAAGCCTTGGGTTCAAAGTTCTGCCACTTACTCACCATATGACCATGGCCAAATTATTTCACCTGTAAAATTGAGATACTCATAATATCTCCCTCATAGGACTGTTATACATATTATATGAGATAGTACATTGTAATATGCTGAGACTAATGCATCCCACTCTGGTAGGTACCAGATCTATATCAGCTGTTATTATTATTATTCCGTCTCTCCAATCTCTTTTTTTAGTTGGATATCTTAGTTCCAACTATACCAGATTTATCATGAACTATAGTTACATCATAGTTTTTCCCTCCTTGAAATGTCTTCAAATGTCCAGTTTTCTCAATACAGTTTCCATCTTTTTCCTACCTCATTTTCATATTCATCTCACTAACTCCTACTCATTCTTGAGATCTCAGCTTTTATGTCACTTTTCCAGGGAAGCCCAGACAAACCACTTGTATGTACTTCACCGTTGAAACACTGTTGTCTACATATTTGTTCAGATCTGCCTCCTCTACATGGACTATAAGCTCATCTGTTCATTGGTGCAGTCCACATGCCCAGTAGTTAATTAATAAGTATCTGCTGAATATGTGAATGAATCATCACTCATGCTGTCCTTTGGAGCTCTAGGCTGGGCTCACAAAGAATACCTGGTGGAGAGATTTTGTCCCTTCACCGAAAAAATGTGCCAAGGCTGGAGATTTTAGTTTTATTTTTTGTTGCTGTTGTTCCATACTGAGGAGAGAACTGAGTGAAAATTGATAGCTAGCACCTTTGGTGAATTTCTGAATATCAAAGACATGTCAGGTCACACTGTGTTAGCATAGGAATTTTAATTTCCTTCATATTTAGATATGATAGAAGGACTCTGGGAAGCCTATACCAAGATAGTGGTGTTTTTAGGAATTTGGTATGGCTATTTTGTATGACTAATACCGCACAGAAGTTAAAGCATAGAAACAGAAATACAATACTGCTTGTGTGACTTACTTGCTAATGACTTCGGCAAAGACCCTTACCTTTCTGAAACCAGATTCTTTCTCTGTGAAGCGGCATAATAGCAATTACCGAATAGAATTATTACAATTGAGATAAAGTATGTAACGCACTTAGCACTTATTTATAAGAACCAAAAGAGATAGATTTTTAGCTATTCATTGCTTTATAAAAAGGCAATTATGATTTCCTTGTCATGGAGATTCAGTAGAAAGCTAACAGTATATATAACTCTGCACTGATTTGATTTTGTGAAAGGAGAACTTTAGCATTTAATGAGAGGAGAAGTGGAAGTGATGACCAATCAGAGTGAAAACCAAGTCAGTGGTGTAACCTGTAGGAAATCTCCATAAAATTTCCACTCAGAATTATTTGGGGATTTCTAAGTATAAAGCGCATAGGCTGACTTAAGAGTTTGATTAGTGCAGAATTGGGACTGAGTTTGTCTTTAGTGAACTAGTGTAACATTCTCTAATTCTGTTCCCACACTTACCTATGGCGCACAGTGCTGGGGTGTTGAACAAAGCAATCACCAATCTTACATCAGCTCTGCTATTATACTTTCATACTGGGTCAGATCATTCAGATGACTTTTAAGGATTAAGCAGGGTGAATTTCGGTGATGCTGGAACACTTGAAAGCCTTTTCTGGGTTTCTCAGATCCACTTCTCTCCAGGTTATGCTAGCAGCCTTTCCACATACCACCATCATTAAACTTTCTGTATCAAATGGCAATTGCCCATTCAATTATCTGTTTCCCTCAAAGACTGTCAGCAGCTTGAGGACGCACCTAGGTTGTTCATATGGGTATCCCCAAGTACTGGCATGGCACTGGGCCCAGAGTAGAGAATACAATGTTGAACAGATCTGCAGGTGAACTGAATTGAAGCTCCAAGTTTCCTAAATTAGTGCAAGTTACAAGAGACCTATCCAAGTTATCTCTGAGAGAGTCAGAACTTGACAATGAATCATTTTGACCATTTTGACCACAGAATAGGAAATCATGAGACCACCACTCAAGAAAGGTTCAAATACAAGTATGCAGATTTTGGAGTGAGTTATGGGTGTCTCCAGGGAGCAGTGATTTGTCATCTGCTTCCCCCACTCCCTGCCATTTTAGTTGATAGAACCAAATTGAAGACACTAAAAAACCTTTAAGAGTCAGAATATATGGATTAACTTTCACTGCCAAACTCATGGAGACAGAGAGTCTTCATAATGTACACATAGTCTAAATTAGTAGAAGTTCTTGATGCTATCCAATGATTTAAGAGGACAACAATACCGATTAGATGGGATCCTAAATACTCACATCTCTAAAATGCCCCTGAGGTAGAAGTCACTTTAAAAAAATATGTATATTAGTCATCTGATAGTCTCAGTAGAGAAGCCTTAAGAAATTCTTTAAATTCCAAGAATTAGACTTCTCTTCTGAAGGGAACTTGAAATTGCATGACAGGGGGCCAACCACCGATATAATGTCTTTACATGCTTTACATTCTCTTCCCCAAAACCCAGCACAGAGTGGTATCTCTAATAGCAAAAGGCTATAATCCAAAGGAAAGTCACAAGTTCAGCTTCTTGCTTTTCAAGCCATTTTGGGTTAGTAAGAGGAACCAAACCATAAAGGGATTTCAGTTTTCTCTGTAAGTTGCAGTCACTGTGAATTCCCTCCTCTATGTCACAAAAGGGGTTATTAGAGACAGCCCTTTTCTGCCTTTCAAGTTAAAATGACTTCTCTTTAAAATAAATTAATTAAAATTCTGTCACCATATGCCT